AATTTTAACTGTAAACTATCACCCCTAGGCTCCTGATTCAACCTCTCTCGTCCTTTCCATGTGGTCTCTGCAGTCTTCATGAACTCTCTCTAAAAATGGGCTCTGAAGCTGAGTAGGCTAGATTTGGATATTAATTTCTCTCTCCTAATAATCTGAAGTTCTTAGTGTGTCTCCAGGGCATAGGTTATAGATATTTGATTTTATCTGATTTTTTGTTGATTTGTATGGCTTTTTAGACTGCGTAGAAAAGTTCAAACTTAGGTGGCCACCACTACTCTATGGCAATCCAGGGGTCTTAATTCATCAAGAATTGTCAGTGTCTTTTTAGTTGACCACGTTTTCTAGTTTAGCCTAGTCTCCTCTACTCTTAAAATACTACCTTTATTTAGTAAAAACTGAACCTTTGGTAATTTATGATTAGCACCAGTCATAAGCCCTCATTAATGATGGACACAATAACTAAAAGAGCCACATAATACAAAACTATATAAAGGAGATGAACACCATAATGAGTTTAGCTTGCAAAGAAAGCTGCAAATGTATCACTCTGTGATACATTGGATAACGTAGGGTAAAAAACTGAAATCTAGATTATTACTGTGAAAGAATTACGTGAAATAAATTTTCATTTCTACTAAAGCAGCAGCGATCTTTCATGCTCAGTAAATGAAGATTTAACAAGGTTATTGAAAAAGAGTTGATAATAAATTTCAAAGTCCCTTACTTGGGAAATAATTTTGATACATGACAGTAAGTCTGTTCAGAAATATTAAAGGCATAAAGCAGACTAAAAGCAAACAACAGACAATTCTTACTGTTAGAGAAGATTTATAATCTACGTTAGTAGCTTCTGTACATAATTTGATATGTTTAGGATTATAGCCTAGTAGGGAGCCAAAAATCAACACACTGAATAAAATAAAGAACAAGCGTTAAGAAATAACCTAAGAATTCAAGAGGTAGATGAGTATTACCAAGTTAGGAATATGAAACTAGATACTAAATACTTTCTTCTTTAAAAACAAGTAAACTGATGTTCTTTCATAGGGTTTTCTATAGATAATAAACAATTACGTGACACTTGTATGAAATAGGAATTGCCATCGGGCAATTGGTTAAAGTTAAAATACAAAGGTATGTGAGGCAATGAGAAAGAGGAAAACAGCCTAATCCGTTAGGGAAAAAATTGAAAGTGGTGCTGGTGATCATGCTGGCACTGTATTGTGGTTCCCCCAGCCAACAAGAACATGGTCCCCATGCTCTTACAACAGAATAGAATTTTTATTATGAACAGACTGTAAATTTTGCTTATTTGGGGGCCTTTAATTCATGCTAGTAGTTTGTCTTATAAGGTGGTTCAGATGTCATACTCTCTAAGGACAATTCCTGCCTTAATGTTTACGGATAAAAATGTGGGCTGTTTTACATTTTCAAATAAGCATGAAATAGAATAACCGACACTACAATTCAACAAGCATTTACTGAGACTCTTCTAACTATTCTCTGAATCAAAAGAGACCAGAATAAACGGGCTGATTTCTTGGCTGGTAGCCTTCATATATTTACTAAAAACATTTTAAAGCTGAGATCTGAAGTATTTATATGAGTGAATGAATGCTTCTATATTAATTTAGATCAGAGATTTACACAAAATGCTTGCTCAAACAAAATGTTTTCCATAAAGTCTAGTACGTATTCAAATTTTCAACTTTTGTCTTTTAAGATCCTTACAAATACTAGATTTAATGCCCCCCCAAATTTAAGAAAACACTCTGAAGTCATACATCAAAGCAAAAATTCTAATTCAGATTATGATAATCTGTAATATACAATTCAAAAATACTAAATTTCCACAGTGTAAAAACTTAAAAGCATAATTTCTTTCCTCTCAGAAATGTCCTTTCCAATGGTAGGTTAGTAAACTGTAAAACAGAACTTTAAGATTAGATTTCCATTACACACATTACTATCTTGTAAAGAATGGAGAAATCATTCTTTCTTGATCAGGTGCAATTCTAGTGCAAACACTGATATTTTTTAGATAAAACACCTGACACTAGGAAGAATTATGAAATTAGAACTTCTCTGTGTAAAAAAAGCCAGTATAGATTCTAAGTTATATGCTTTATAATTTTACCTTTAAGAGCATAGAAGTAGTGACGGATCAAACATTTTATTCAGGGAAGTAAGAACTTTATAAAATAAACATTTCCCTGGTATTTAAAAAAATTTTTTCTTGCTTAAAAGCTGGATGTTAATTTTATAAAACATACCAATTAATATCTATAAAATAAATATATAGCTCAAAGGGGAAAATGGTTTATAAATTTTCTTCCTCTGTAATAATAATTTGAAACTATTTTAAAGAAAAAGCAAAAATTTAAGACAATATTAAAATCTAGTTTCTGAAAACACTTTCACATTCTATAAACGCAGGAAAAAAGCTGCACTTTACTCAGAATGTAGTTTTTTATTTTGGAAACTAAGAGTTCAAATTCAAACTCTGTACTCTGCCAGAGCAAGGCAAGCACCCTTACAGGGACTGTTTCCTTATCTTTTAAATGGTGATGTATATAATACCTCCTCATGGGTCTATAGGAAAGATTAGATTAGACAACAGATAGAAGTCTGAAGTCTAGTGCTGAGTACACAGTGGATGCTCAATGATAGATATTATTTGTGGATGCTTAATCAATGATAGATATCATTTGTAAGTCAAAGACGGAACATCTGTATGAACCACCTCTTCCTACATCAAATTCTTTTGTGTCAATAGTCTCAGATGTGAGGACAATTATGAATTTTATTACAGATTCTTAAGAAGCCATATTCCTTTTGTTCCCTTCCTAAGGAGTCAATAATTAAATTGGTAGAGTCTGTTGTTTTCATTACCACTTTGTAACTATTTGGCCTTAACATTTTATGATATATAATTTCAAGACCATTTTCAATAAATGGGTCCAACGAATAACTCTGCAATGGGTCTGAAATTTAGTTCAGCAACTATATACACTTGTCAATATTTCCTGAATCTGTTCTTTAAAAAGCTATAAAATGTTGCTTCCTTTTTTCATTTTTCTTCAACAATTTCATCTATCTGTGTACCAGTCTTTCCAGGAGAGGGCTGAGCAAGCCTCCATGTATAACCAAGGATATCACCTCCGTGTCCTTCAGGTCCTGAACAAATGGTCCATTTAGAAAATACTACTTGTTTTTAACACAGAGAAAAAACTGGGCCATTTAAAACAAAATAAGTTATAATAAAACAACGCTTGAAAAAAAATGAACTTGAGATACTCAATTTATACAGACTGATTACAAGATTACGTAAATCTGCCTACACAGCATGTGTAAAACTCAGGTCATTATGTGGTTCTATCCAAAAGAATATTCTGTGATCATGGAAATAGTTTATACCTGTGATCCCCAATAAGGTAGTCACCAATCAAACATGGCTATTGAAAGTTAGACTAAAGAACTTAATTTTTAATTAAATTTAATTGTTAAAATTTAAATAGCCACCTGTATCTACTATAATGGAGAGTACAGCCTTACACATTCTCTCTTATTTTTCTTTACCACTGTGACCCTTATCCAGATGTTTTTACTGAACTCCTTATTTTAAATCCCTTCTCTGATATCTCTAAGATTAAATAGCTTGACATAATTATAATCTCAAAAGCAAAATATTACTAAAACAGAATTTTAAAAGCTACCTTAAATGTGCTTTTTGATAAAGCGTACTGCAATCAATTACTTTAAATTTCCTAATCACTGTTTACTAAAAAAGAAAAAAAATGCATACATATCAGAGTGCTTGAAACTGAACTCTAACAATACAGTCTATTCTTCCTCCTGAATTATTTGTCAGCTACATAATTAGTCCCAGGATAAAATAATGGCATAATTAAAAACAAGCACAGCATAAACCACAGCACAGCCAAGGAGAATTAAGGAAACAAATGAAAATTATTCTGTATCTGTCTATTCATTGTGATAATACAGAAATTAGTGAATAGAAATATGATGGATCAAATGTAACAATACAATGTATTAGTCAATGAAGAGTTGTATAATTTTTATCTCTTATTTACCACGCCACCAAAGATCAAGTGTTACCTCAGTTTTACAGGATTTCTGGATGACTACTGATGGCTCTTTCCAATTAAACCTAAGCATACACATTATTTTAAAGTAAAATGATTAAAAAGATCTCAGAAAAAAAATTTCAAGTGTTTTAAGCTCCCTCTCTCTTTCTTTCTTTCTCTCTCTTTCTTTCTTTCTTTTCCTTCCTTCCTTTCTTTCTTTTCCTCTCTGTTTCTCGTCCCCACATGTAAACACAGTCTTTTTTTAAAGCGTAGTTAGGTGTTAAGAAGAAAAACAACTTTGGCGCTTATCTGTTAAGAACTGCCTCTCTCTGGGACTAGTATTAATGTCATCACCACCAATCAATTCCACCTTTCTTCTGCCTATCAACTTGGCTTTCAGTATCCTGGGGGTGGCAAGGTAAGTAGGAGGGTGAACATGTAAAACAATCTCAGTATTCAGGGACAGGATTCAAAAGAATTCAAGTTATGTGAATGTAAGTTATGTGCTAAACTATATACCAATTTCTGAATGACTGTTGATTTGATTTTTTGTTTGGCATTTGAGTAAACATAATAAAACTTACTATTTTTTTTTACATCTTTATTGGAGTATAATTGCTTTACAATGGTGTGTTAGTTTCTGCTTTATAACAAAGTGAATCAGTTATACATATACATATGTTCCCATATCTCTTCCCTCTTGTGTCTCCCTCCCTCCAACCCTCCCTATCCCACCCCTCTAGGTGGTCACAAAGCACCGAGCTGATCTCCCTGTGCTATGCAGCTGCTTCCCACTAGCTATCTATTTTACGTTTGGTAGTGTATATATGTCCATGCCACTCTCTCACTTTGTCACAGCTTACCCTTCCCCCTCCCCATATCCTCACAGTATGGAGGTTCCTTAAAACTTACTATTTTGAGCCAAGGCTTGAAGTAGACAATCCAAGCATCCTTCTAAACTATCATCAGTTCTGTCAACAGCTGTTATCTTCAGCTTCTTCAAGGTATCACTGAGATTATCTGCTTAGAGAAAAAAGAGCAATCAGAAACCTTTCTAACCATCATGTTACATGATAAACAGTACCACTAACAGGCATAAGGCTCCCCATATGGTGAATTAATTTCCACATACATTCCAAAATGGCAATGGACTATACGATTACATATTTTTTAAATAAAATTTTATCCATTTAACTCCTATAAAATATTCATTCTGTATCTGTAAGATACCAAGAATATTCCATAGATAGTCACAGAACATCTTTTCAGCATTCTTGTACCTTATTTAGCTTGTTCAGGAACAAGCCATGGTTAACTGAAAAAAAAAAAAAAGGTCTACAAAAAATTACATAGCTTTGCAAATAATACTTTATTACATTTTTGGCTTCCTCTGTTGTATTTTAAATACATAAAATGAAAATGAAGGTTTAGAAAAGTTTCAAAATGATATGACTTAAAATAATAGTCTGATGACTATAAAACCTGTTTTAACAATGCCATTTAAAAAACGCTTCAAAGTACTGCTTTAAGCCAAAACATGTATATTTTGGATTTTAAAGCAATGCTCTCCTCCTAAATTATACGTGGATTCCTCTAGACCATAGACTGTTAAAAATCTTTTTACACTATTAAAAATTATTTAGGACCCCAAAGAGGTCTTTTAAAATTTTTTATTCAAGTTTAGCTGATGTATAATGTTATATAAATTATAGGTGTACAATATAGTGATTCACAATGTTTAAAGGTTATGCTCCATTTATAGTTATAAAATATTGGCTATATTCTCTGTGTTGTACAATGTATCCTTGTAGCTTATTTATACATAATAGTTTGTACTTCTTAATCCCCTACCCCTTTACTTCCCCTCCCCACTTCCCTCTCCCCACTGATAACCACTAGTTTGTTCTCTATATCTGTGAGTCTGTTTCTTTTTTGCTATATTTAATAGTTTGTTGTATTTTTTAGATTTCATATATAAATGATATCATACAGTATTTGTCTTTCTCTGACTCATTTCACTTAGCACAGTACTCTTTAGGTCAGTCCACATTGTTGCAAATGGCAGAATTTCATTCTTATTTTATAGCTGAGTAGTATTCCATTGTGTGTGTGTATATATACGCACAGACACCTCCCCCCAACATCTTCTTTAACCATTCATCTGTTGATGGACACTTAGGTTGCTTCCATATCTTAGCTACTGCAAATAATGCTGCTATGAACATTGGGGTGCATGTATCTTTTCAAATTAGTGTTTTGATATATATACCGAGTGGTAGTTCTAGTTTTATTTTTTTGAGAAACCTCCATACTGTTTTCCACAGTGTAGCAACAACTTACATTCCCACCAAAAGTATACAAGGGTGCCCTTTTCTCCACATCCTCACCAACATTTGTTATTTGTGTTCTTTTTGATGACAGCCATTCTGTCACTTGTGAGATAATATCTCACTGTGGTTCTAATTTGCATTTCCCTAATGATTAGTGATGTTGAGCATCTTTTCATGTGTCTGTTGGCCATCTGCATGTCCTCTTTGGAAAAATGTCTGTTCAGGTCTTCTGCCTATTTTTTAATCAAGTTGTTTGTTTTTTGATGTTGAGTTGTATAAGCTGTTTATATATTACGGATATTAGTCCCTTATTGGTCATATAATTTGCAAATATTTTTTCCTGTTTAGTAGGGTGTGTTTTAATTTTGCTGATGGTTTCCTTTTCTGCGTAAAAGCTTTTAAGTTTAATTAGGTCCCATTTGTTTATTTTACTTTTATTTTCTTTACTTTAGGAGATGGATCCAAAAAATTAATGCTGTGATTTATGTCAAAGAGCGTTCTGCCTATGTTTTCCTCTAGGAAATTTATAATTTCTGGTCTTACATTTAGGTCTCTAATCCATTTTGAGTCTAGTGTTTTATATGGTGCTAGAGAATGTTCTAATTTCATTCTTTTCCATGTAGCTGTCCAGTTTTCCCAGCACCACTTATTGAAGAGACTGTATTTTCTCCATTGCATGGTCTTGCCTCCTTTGCTGTAGATTAACTGACCATAAGTGTGGGGGTTTATTTCTGGGCTTTTTATTCTGTTCCATTAGTCTATGTGTCTGCTTTTGTGCCAGTACCATACTGTTTTGATGACTGTAGCTTTGTAATAAAGTCTGAAGTCAGGGAGCGTGATTCCTTCAGCTCTGTTCTTCTTTCTCAAGATTGTTTTGGCTATTCAGGGTCTTCTGTGTTTCCATCCAAATTTTTAAATTATTTGGTCTAGTTCTGTGAAAAATGTCACTGGTATTTTGACAGGGATTGAATTGAATCAGCAGACTGCCTTGAGTAGTATGGTCATTTTAACAATAATAATTCTTTCAATCCAAGAACACAATATATCTTCCATCTGTTTGTGTAATCCTCAATTTCTTTCATCAGTGTCTCATAGTTTTCCAAGTACAGGTTTTTTTTACCACCTTAGGTAGGTTTATTCCTAGGTATTTTATTCTTTTTGATGCGATGGTAAATGGGATTGTTTCCATAATTTCTCTGACTGTTAGTGTACAGAAATGCAAACAAATTTCTGTACGTTAATTTCGTATCCTTCAACTTTACTGAATTCATTGATGAGCTCTAGTAGTTTTCTGATGATGTGTTTAGGATTTTCTATGTATAGTATCATGTACAAAAGAGCTCTGCTTTCAATTATTTATATTGATATTTAACATACTAAAAATTAAAAATGAGACTTTTAAATACTTATTTTAGTAATTCATTTAAACCTAACAAATATAAAACTATTATCTGTTAACATAATTATATTTTTAATGAAAAATAATTATATTTCAAAACCAACTTACTGAGAAGAGTGGCATTTTTCTACATTTTCACAAATCTCTGTAATGTCTGCCTTAATAGAAGAAAACTGGATTCTCATATCTGCTTCTGTACTCAATCTTTATAATTTGTTGTTTTGGTTAAGTAGATGAAAAAAATTCAGCCGCACACATATACATAGTTGGAAAACAAGGGAGTATTTTAACAGGCTTTTCAGATAACAGTGGATAGTCTTTGATACTACACCAAAATTTGATTAGTGGTAGTGTTTTAAAGGCTAGTTACCATGTGAAATCTGAAACAATATCACTGAGCTCTGCCAACTGTTACATGAAAATCCACTGCTCTTTTGCATTTTGAATCTTTCATGCATGCAACATGTTTGTCATCCATGCATTGGTCATTTAAAAAATTAGGTCATGGAGTTATGCATATCTTCCAAACACTGACACATTTCATTGTACTATTTCAAAATATCACATTTGTTAATATCTTCACTAATCTTTTTTAAAGACTAAGTACTGGGAAGCTGTCAAGCCTAAGGTGATACAAGTTTTCCAAAATTCTAATTTTCTCTTAAAACCTCTAATTTTATCACCAGCAACAGATACTGTGAGTTGTTTTCCTTAAATGACAAATTAACCTCATTCGTGAGAAAATATCTGCCAAATATGAAAAGCCAGTTCGTCTCTCTGTTCTTTCAAATTAAAAAAAAAAGTTATTCCATGAAAAAAAGTATCTCAGTCAGCTCACAACTCAAAAGATTGCACAACTGCTTTTCTTAAAAACAACCATCAGACGTTACGATGCAATGCAGGTGTTTTCTGTGTACTTCCCATTTTATCAAATAGTATATTTTTAAAATGTGTATTAAAAAGTTAAGAGTTTTAAAAACATTGTTTTTCCTGCTTCATCACGGACATTCTTAAGTAAAACTGGTATTTTTTTTTTAACCTCAAGTATACGATGGTAAAGAATACAATAATTACTAGTTATTGTAGTTTGGTGCTACTAGTAGCCTGATTCACACATACTGAAGCACTAGCAATTTTTTACCCACAGATGCTTTTGCACCACTGTCAGTGCAAATGTCAATACAGTGAAAAAAGACAAAAAATGTCTTTTGATGATACCACACAAATGGTTTTGACCTCATGGGCACCCTAACAGCACACCAAGGACTCCTGGGATTGCTGCTCTAGTATTAGAATTTCAGGCATTTTCTTACTTCAAAGTAAGGTGTAAATTTTAATAGACTTTTGTACATTGTCAGCTCATGACAATTCTAAAAATAAAGTGGAATTCCCTATTATAAAATGAGTGGTAATTTATTTTCCAGGTCAACCCAGGAAAAAGTAGACAAAAATTTACATTAAATAATACTAACATGCTCTAGTGATGTCTCATACAACTGTGATTAACCTAGTAATCCTAAACCTACTTTATAAAAAAATCCCAGGTTATCATTCACAACGAATGTTAATATTTATTTTCCTAAGAGGGCTTAAATAGTTTTGAGAAATTGATTTTATTTCCCTAAAGGAAAAGAAAACTATATTCATATATATGTCTTCTATTAACTAAAAAGAAGTTGTAGGGCATCACATCTCAGATATACTTGTTCTATCTTATTACATGGATATAGGTTGATTTTTCTGAAATAAAGTATGAATAATATATCATATCTAAGTTCATACTACTAAAAGTAATAAAAAGTAATTACCACAACACTGAGGAAAAAAGACATAATGTTAGTCAAATGATAATAATACATCAAAACTATGAGTCAACAAGTAATAAAAGTAGTTAAGACGTACTTAGTACTACCTATATTGGCATCTGGATCTGTTTTACTTGTTTCCTTTCCTTCATTCCATCCCCAGTGCTCCTTGTTTGACATCCCTTTCTTATCAAGTTTCAGCCTAACTGTCACAACCCCAGTGACCATCGTTCTTGTAAGTCTTCTCTTCCCCAACCCTCCAGGGTTATTCTCTATCACTGCATCCATCCTTCACAGCACTATTCACAGTATGCAGTTATATATTCTTTTGTTTAATTGGTAATATATACTCCCCCTCTATATTGTATGGGGCACATTGCTAACTATAGTCATTGCACTATACCTATTACTTGGCACAAAAAGGTAGCCAGCAAATATTTATTAAATTAACTAAGTGAATAAGGGAATGAATTCCTTACTTGCAGA